AGCTCGAAATTCCCCCCGGAGACCCCCCGCATCCCTGGGAGCTCTCCCGTCCTCCCCCGCATCCCTGGGAGCTCTCCCAGCCAAACGCAGACGCTCAAGGACTATTTTCGGGGAGAAATTGCCAGGAAAGCCTCTAATCCTGTTGAGGCATTTTTCACAGAGCAGTCACACATCCCAAATATTATTTCCCCGGGGGTGGTTGGTGCTTTCCCCTGGCTCTCACCCCCCTCCCCTCCCGCAGCGCCCGCCTGCCCCAGCATCCCCGGTGTCCTTGGGCGAACCCCTTCCCTGCTCCCTGCTTTTGAGGGAAAGAGGGGGTTCGGGGTGTTTTACTGCCAGAGCTCCTGTGGTTTATATGGATGTATATATTTCCTGTGGATGTATATGGTTTATATGGATTTATATGTTTTCTATGGATGTGTGTGTTTTAGAATGACGTGTATGGTTTATATGGATGGGTATGTTTCCTATGGATGTATGTGGTTTATATGGATGTATATGTTTTCTACAGATGTGTATGTTTTATAATGACGTGTATGGTTCATATGGATGAGTACGTTTTCTGTGGATGTATATGTTTTCTATGGATGTATATGGTTTATAGGGATGAATATATTTTCTATGGATGTATATGGTTTATAGGGATGAATATATTTTTTAGGGATGTATATGGTTTATATGGATGTATATGTTTTCTACAGATGTGTATGTTTTAGAATGACGTGTATGGTTTATATGGATGAATATGTTTTCTATGGATGTGTATGTTTTCTCTGGGTGTATATGGTTTATATGGATGTATATGTTTTCTATAGATGTGCATGTTTTATAATGACATGTATGGTTTATAGGGATTAATATGTTTTCTATAGATGTATATGTTTTCTATGGATGTGTGTGTTTTAGAATGACGTGTATGGTTTATATGGACAAATATGTTTTCTATGGATGTGTATGTTTTCTATGGATGTATATGTTTTCTATAGGTGTGTATGTTTTATAATGATGTGTATGGTTTATATGGATGAGTGTGTTTTCTATGGATGTATATGGTTTATAGGGATGTATATGTTTTCTATGGATGTTTATGGTCTATATGGATATATAAGTTTTCTATGGATGTGTATCTTTTAAACAGATTTATTTATTTTCATTCTAAGGACACCTTGAGTGGGTGCCTGCACCCCAGTTTGGGTAACTGGGGGGACCCCACTTGCCACCAGCTCTCTGCCATGGCCAGCTGAGGTGGCCAGGGACCAGTGTCCAGCAGGATCCTCCCAGGGACAAATCTTGCTCTTGATTTTTGGCTCAGTTTGATGAGGCACCACTAAGTCCACTTTGAGGGCAGCTGAGCACCAGGGGACCCCATTTTGGGGTGAAGGGGAGGGGACAGTGTCCCTCTCCCTGCAGAGTTGTACGCTTCCCTTTCGCACAGGGGAAGGGAAGGGAAGGGAAGGGAAGGGAAGGGAAGGGAAGGG